GGAAATATAAAGATAAATGTGTTACACGTGAGAAATGTGATGGACTAAAATGGATATTTGATAAAAAAAAATTTTTGTAAGAATAAAGATATTTACCTGACTTGATAAGCTAATGTACCTGATGGATCATATGTAAGTGCAATTTCTTGATGAGCTTTTCCACGTGCATTATCAAAACGTAATTCAGGTAAATTACTCCATCTATTCATATATATATATAAATCATATTTCCTACTTATATTGAAATAATTTATTCACATACAATTTAACTATATTCGGATGTGATGGACCATTTTCACCAATAACACATAGACCAGTCATTTTCACAGCACCATTAAATGGTATACTGAAAAGTAATTCTTGTTCATCATCACTTTCAACGATCTTTCAAAAACAAAAAAAAGACATCGTTGGTATTTTATTTGAATAAATCGAATATAATATACTTTAGATCGATCAAGTCGTTCGTCCCATGCTCGAAATACATCTTTACCTGAACCATCATGTTTTTCATTATAACATTGTAAATTATATTTATCAATTTTCATATACAAATTCCATTGACCAACACTTGTTTCATCAACATGTTGGCATGTACGTGAACATGAATGTTGCATAATTTATCTAAATAGAATAAAGATAAATAATTCGCTTCTAGTATTTTATATCGAACGATTTATTTTATATCATCCACAACAGAAATTACATAATACACAGATGAAAAAAAATAGAACCAATAATATTGTTCTATGAACGTCCTTTATGTTTTTTTTGATGAAGTAACATACTACTTTCATCTCGTCGTCGTTTAGTCATAGGATTTCTTGGATCATAAACAGTTAATAAATCAGCATTGGTATAAATATCTTGAACATTATCTAAAAGTTGTTCAGATACAAAAGTATGTTGTAAAATTTGATCTGGAACTTTATCAGCTATTTGTTCTAATTTTGTTTCATTTACAAGTTCATTAGTTGGTTCATTATTAGCAGCATGAAGTTTTGTACGAAATTTTTCTAATAGATTAAGTGTCTAAAAATGAATATGAAAATTCGAATGTTTTATTCCAGCAAAACAAAAACTGATGAACAAACTTGAAATTCTCTGGAATTCGAATCATTACTTTGATTTTTCTTTTTATTTCGTCTTGTACCTGCCATCAGTTCATCCATTAATACAGACATATTTGCAGTAACTGGTTGAGTAGGAGAAGGTGCAGCTAAAATTTGAAATAAAGTCATGAAATACGATTATTAATTAAAAATGTGATAAATAACCTCATGTATCCTTTAGAAATTACTTAAGACATCCAATTATCTCAATCGACTGAATCTTGCAAAGAAACATTCTCAAGTAATTATCAAATTTCGAACTAATAGTTTGCTTGCAAATAGGTCTTGGTAAGATCGAAAAAACCCTAAGAGGACTCATTCTGCTGGCCATTTCTTGTTGACCTAGAAGCACTTTTTTAGTGGAATTTCACCCTATATTAGCATGTCCTAAGATTCTCATCTTGAACAAATAAGTTTCTATGGAAATACGGTATTTTCGAACAAACGATAGAATATTTTCAAATATATTGACATTTGAGAAGATCTGTTGATTTTCTAATGTACATGAAAAACAAATTAGAATCAAAATTAGGTTTCTTTGTTGACAAAAAAGATTAAATGAAGAGAATTTATAATAATAAAACACCCGGTGCAATCAGACTGGTTATCCCCAATTTTCGTAACTTTTCACTGTAAAATTACTTACGTTCTGTTTCTTCTTGGACGATATCTTCTGATGATTTGCTAGGTATTGATGATTTTTTTGATTGTTTTAGTTCTTTTTTTAATCGTTCAATTTCAAATTTAATATTTTCATTTCTATTCGAAAAGAAAAATATCAAATTAATCAAATCATTTTTGTTTTATTTTTATATTTACGATTTTGACGATGAAATATCTTCTTGATTATCATCATCATCATCAATATTAAGTTGAATTGCTTTTTTCTTGTCTTGTTTAGATAATCTTTTTTCATTAAATTTTTGTCGTACACGATCAAGTTCTTCTTTATCAAAATCTCCATCACTTTTTTCTTTTAATTTAAAATTTTGTTTTTCTATAGGTAATTCTTCATCACTTTCTTCATTATATTCAACTAATAGAACTGTATTTTTACTTAATGTTGAATCATCAGTTAAATCATGTGCACTTTTACCAGTTCCTTTTTGTTTAAATGTCTATAAATATTAAATTTAGTAACCAGGCAAAAAAAAAAGTAAGATATTTATTTATACCATTGAAATTTTTGTTATTTCTTCTTCATCTTCTTCAGCTTCATTTCCAAATGAAAGAAGACCATAATTTCTAATACAAAAGAAAAAAAAAGACAAAAGAATTTTAAATTCTTGTTTTTATTCTAATAGAAAAATTCTACTTGATTGCTTTAGCATGTACGGTTTCTTTAGATTTTTTATTCGTTTCATCATCATCAATCATTTGTGGTTTAGCTCGAGGATGAGATACCATATTATCAAATGGATTTGATATAATCTATTTGTATATAAAATAAAATTTTTCAAAACTATATTTTCTTTTTTCTTTTTCATTTCTAACCTCTGCTTTGATTATTTTATGTTTATGTACAGGTGTTTCACCAATAATTTCTCCTTCGCCTAATTTCAACATATTAAATAATGTATTACCAACAACTTTGCCAAATAATGTATTCTTTTTATCGAGTTCCGGAGCACTACCCAATGTAAAAAAGAATTCACTAGCATTTGTATTTGGTCCATGATTAACCATACCAACAAGACCACGACGATTAAAACGTAAACGTGTATGAAATTCATCCTAAAATTTTTTTTTTATAGAAATAAAATAAAATAAAATTTTAATAAATATTTACTGGAAAGAATACACCAGTTGCTGATTCACCTCCTTCACCTGTACCAGTTGGATCGCCACCTTGTGCAATAAAATTTGGTACAACTCGATAAAAAACTGTACCATCATAATAACCATCCATACATAATTGAAGAAAATTTCGACATGCTAATGGACATTCTTTAGAGAAAAGTTCCTAAGAAATAAAACAATATTAATATTTCAGATTTAATTAATACATAGGGCACTACAGAAGTTTTTTTTCTTGTTCGGCTATCCTAAATGCTGTATATTGAAGTCAAGTATTCTACTATAATGCATAGACATATTTAGGATAATGTGCAAAATGTGAAACATCTAGGTTTTGCATAACATCTTATTCTTACATTTCTTGGAGATTTGTCAGACATTATTTTTAAATATCTCACGAGATCGATTTCGAACTATGATTTTATATGAACAGAAAATTGATTTAATGTACACAAAAAACCGTACCCTTCTGTTAGAGGCATGCTGGGATTTAGATCGAATGATTCGCACTAGGCTTCATGAATTGCAACCGAGGAAATTCAGATCGTCTTTTAGCTGCTATTTTATGTAGATACAACTGGTGTTGTCTCAAACGATCATCGAAGATGGTCCTCACTGGACATACGAATTAATAGAAAACATTCGGAGAATAATTTCTCCAGCAGATTTTTCTATTTGTTTTTAAAATTCTACAAAGTTTTATGCTCGATAAATAGATGATTAGCTCATCGATGACTGAAAGTAGTTCCATGTTCAATCGTTTACTCATTTACTGAAGAGATTTGTATAGACTAATTTCAATCTTGTATTCAATATTATCGCTAGTGATCTCAAAATTTATCAGAATAAAAGTTTAGACAAGTGTACCATGCTATTGTTTTGTACAGAATATAGTCTGTCAATAACTGTCTAACACAAGTTTTCTAATTGGATCAGAAAATAAATTAATAAAAAAAACACGAGATCATAGACATTCTGGACTCTGAAAGAATTGAGCACACATAATCCTATTTCACAGATCTAAGCCTGTGTAACTCCTTTCTATTACTAAAACTGAAATATCAACTACACAAAATAAGTCTCAACAACAGCCACTCAATGTTACACATGCTATAAGCAGTCATTAATGTCTTCTAAAAAAATGATCTCAAATTCTATCTGAATCAAATGTATCAATGCATTGTTGATGAGAAGTAGTACTTTGAAAAACAACACCAGAACCAAGCCTATAAATATTTCTCTAAAGAGTCGACAAGAACACTTTTGTAGTGTCCTTTGTAAAAAAAAGAAAAAAAAAAGAAAAAGAAGAACCCCGTACAATTTCAATATCACCAACTGTTGTATCTAAAACAACTTTTCCACGAGTAGCTGGTTCTTGAATGTAAATATTACTCATCTAAAACACAATCAAATAATTAAAATCAAATATGGACTAAATAGAGAGATAAAAAGGAATTTTAAAAAATTGACTCTTATAGATGCGTAAAATTAATACTATATATGAGTTCCTATTGAAATCCATTCGGATTATTTGACTGCCAACGCCATAAATCTTCGCCTATAAAAAAAAAAGTACAATGTTTAATCTATTATTAAACAACAAAATCTAACGTACACATTTCATCTAAATTTCGTTGAGCTGTCCATCCAAGTTCTTGAGCTGCTAGTGTTGGATCGGCATAAACAGTTGCAAGATCACCTGAACGTCGAGAACATTCTTTATAAGGTATTGTTTTGCCTGATGCTTTTTCTAATGCTTTAATCATTTCTCGTACAGAATAACCTTTACCAGTACCAAGATTATAAATCTAAATTAAAAAAAAGCAAAAAAAGAATAAATAAAAATATTTAAATCATTCTCAATCCTAACCTTTAAACCACAATTTATTTCAAACTGTTTCATTGCTGCAATATGACCCATAGCTACATCAACAACATGTATATAATCTCGAACACCTATATAAAATTCAATCATTTTTTAATGATTAGAAGATAAATGATTATTTTTTTCTTGTATTTACCTGTCCCATCTGGAGTATTATAATCAGTACCAAAAATATTAACATATGGTAAACGACCAACAACCACTTGTGCAATATATGGCATAAGATTATTTGGTTTACCAATAGGATTTTCACCAATTAAACCTGTTTTATGAGCGCCAACTGGATTAAAATAACGTAAAAGAATTATATTCCATTCCTAAAAGAACTAAAAACAATAAAAAAAAAGTTTGCTTCGAGTTTAAAATACGGACAGGATGAGCAACCATTGTATCTTTAAGAATATGTTCACAAATATATTTACTTTTACCATATGGATTAGTAATAGCATCACCAATACATGGATGTTTTTCATCCAGTGGTAAATATTTTGGTGTACCATAAACAGTAGCTGATGATGAAAAAAGAAAATTTTTAACATTAAATTCTTCCATACACTAAAAAATATTGAATAAACAATCTATATATGTATAGTGTTCAGTGTCTGCGTGCGTGTCTGTCCGTGCTGGGCCAAAGATTGAAGGTCAAAAAGGTTATAAGGGGGTAAGGCTATAAGGGAGTAAGGCTATAAGAGAGAAAAACTATAAGGGGGACGACTATAAAGAGGAGATCGCCCTAAGGTGGTAAGGCTATAAGGGGGTAAGGCCATAAATGGGTAAGGCTGTAAGGGAGTAAGGCAATAAGAGAGAAGGCTATAAGGGGGGAATGCTATAAGGGAGTAAGGCTACAAGAACTACAAGAAAGATAAGACCGTAAGGCTACATGACTAAAAGCGATATAGGGATATCACACCGTAGGACTTTTATGTATACAATGTCGAGTGTCTGCGTGTCTGTTGCTGAGCCAAAGGTTAAAGGTTTGAAGTCGTATATTAAAGAAGAAAAAGCTGCCGTGCAGTATATACGGGTTCTCGCTAGTAATAAATAGTTTTTATTATTAAAAAACAATTACCGTGAGTAAATTAAGTAAACAACCGATATTATTTTTATAGTATAAAATTGGTTTTTGTACTGATTCACCAACAGATTTAAGTGCAGCACAATTGATAATTGCATAAATTGGATATTTTTTAAAAATATCTCGTAAACTTTCAAGATCAAGACAATCAATTTTATAACTGATTATTTTACATCCAGTAATTTGTTCAACTCGTTTCAAACATTCTAAAAATAAATTTCTAAATCGGATCGAACTTTTCTCCTATATATTTTTTAATCGAACCTCTTGATGAATTACATTCATTATCTACTGCAATTGGTGTATAACCAGCTGTAACAAGTTCAATAACACAATGACTACCAATAAAACCAGCACCACCTGGTACAAGGACATATTGTTTCTTTTGATCACCTTTAAAGAAAATGAGATTTCAAATTTTAGAGAGAATCTCAACAGTTTTGAGAAACAATTGTTTGAAAAGTTCTGTTTTTTTTCATTTTATGACTGAATTTACTGGTAGATTATCGAAAAGTAATTTAACAAAATGTTCGTTCATTTTTCAACTTCTTAAAGGAGGCTATGGAAATTTGAGTGCATTTAACTAATATCAGAATTTTGTGTTCTTTCTGAGTATGACTTTCAGTTTAAAATTTATGAACTGTTCTTTTCGAAGTCTACAGATTGGATCGCAAACTCTTCATTCTTATATCATTTTGTAGAGAACAATCTCGTCTTTAATTCTATACATAAAAAATCGGTAATATAATGTATGCAGTAAAGTAGACTATTGCTACAAAAAAAATTCAACTTTCTCCGTCAAAACTTAATTTTTACACCATTAAAAGGTCGATTGATAACTCCTAAACTAGAAAATGGATTCTCGATTCGGAGGAAGCTTTCTCCCTTCCCTAGATGTCTGACTTTCTGCCAATTTTTCCCGTGTGCATGGTAACTTTGGACAGAAACCATATTTTGAAACACCATTTGCCTATCTTGGATCGAAAATGAAAGAAAAACGAACAGACAATATCGTTGCGAGATGAATAGGATTGGAGTAGGACTCGTGGGAAGGGTTGGGTCACCACTTATAACACTCCAAAGATGAAAACACTTTCTATGAGGATCGTCGGACTTTCTGTCGAAGTTTTAGGCCCTTCGGCCTCTAAAAAAATATCGACAAACCTGACTATAAGTCCTAGAGCAATGTTGAACCTGCATTCAGAAATAATACAATATTTTGATCCATACACTCAATATGTTGAAATTTCTGTAGACTTATTTCGAAGACCAAAAAATCAAAGAACATTTTGTCAAATTGCTTTTCGATAAGTCTTTAGTCCAAAACAAATCGTGATACGCTGTTCAGTCTTCAGCTATACATATATACAATAACATTAAAAAAAAAACTATTTCTTTAATACATCTGATGCAATTCAAATTCATTTTCAAATTCTATTCTCTTTCTCATTATTGAAGAAATTTTCTTGTCTACACAAAGTACTCTGATTGTATATTATTATTATTTCATTTAATGATGTATTATCTATAAATTCATTTACCAGATACTTCTGTCATTATTTGACTTGTCTATTTACCACAATAATCTAAAACCAATTATACAGATAACTATTTGATTATTGCAAAGAATTTTTTATTTCATATGTAGAGATATGTGAAATAGTTATTAAATTGTTTTATTGTTTTTTTTTTAAAGCTCAAGAAATACAAGAAAAAAAAAAGGAATGCGGTGAACTCCGTTGATAAGCATAAGTAAAAAGAAAATGCACAGACAAAAGGAATAGTTAAGATCATGATATTTGTTAAATATTTGCATCGTTTTTTTTTTAGCAAGCACGTTACAAATTAACCTAGATAAATACGATAAACAACAACAAAAATGAATATCACTGGGGCTTTCTTATTTCCCACCCAAAAACTCAAACAAAAAAGAAAAATACTACTTCATGTAGTAGCCGTTCTCACCTATTCAAAACAAAAAGGAAACTATGGATCTTCTTTTATAAAGAACCATATAGAAGCAAAGAATTTGGAATGTCAATAAGAAAGAAACGAAAAAAGCCTCAAATGAAAGCGCAGAGAAAGAAAAAAGTTAAAATATTAATAGTCAAAAACGAAGAAAAAAAAATTACACTACGAAAAAACAAAAAAACAAAACATTTTATTAAACATTTGCAGTAGATGTTCCAGACTCACGACGTGGTTGATTAAGAACGTTAAAATTAACATTAAACACAATCAAACAACCTGTAGAAAGACCAGCCATGATATATCTAAATTAAACAAAGACAAAATATATATTTACGAATAAACTCATTCGTTAGTTTGTTTTTTTTGAAGGTCGATCTTGCTGAAAATTTTACAAATACTTGATGTCTACGAGCCAAGATAATGCGTTCAAAGATCATCTCTATCTTTGATGAAACTCGTTTATAGTAACACAATTTGATTTAAAATTTCGCATGGTTTTTTTTCTCATAAGTATGGCATAGATTTGAAATTAGCATCGAATTCTGAATAAAATGGAGTATTTACTTAATCAAAAATTCAACTTTTATTTTTTTGGGATAGAAAAAGTTTTCAACTTTTTTCATTGGATTCTAGTGAAAAATGCACCACTTGGTAAAGAATTCGATAGTGATGATGAATATCTGTTTGGTTTCATCCTGACTCAAACTGCGATATTCTGAAAAAAAAAGGATGAAATTTTATAACGAATACTATTTTCAGTATGTTATTCAATATAGTTATGCTTGTTAAGAAATGATCTGATATTCTTAAAGCTTGTTAAAAACTGAACAACTTTTATATTGTATATCGCTTCGTTTAAAAAAACTTCTATAACCATCGATATTTTCAGAATAGCTCGACTCGAGCTAAAGAAAAATTAGCGAAATTTTTACTAATAGTAGATTTAAAAAATAGTTTCTATCTATCATAAAAGTTTCAAAGAATTTGTTTTTTTTTTTTTTTTTTTACTTTTGATCATGAGTTATTGCCAATGAACGAATACTAGCATCACATTGTGGATAAGCATAAACAGGTTGTAAATCATGTGTTCGAATGATTTGTACAAAACCTCGATCACCACCAATAACCGTATATTGACTATCATTATTTAACGCCATACACTAAAAAGTTTAAAATTTAATATTTTTTTTCTCTTTGACTTTCTTTTTTTCTTTTACTTGAATAGTTTCATCTTCAAATATTGCTTGTCGCATTAATTTTCCATTTAATGTATATAGACATAATTTTGAACGATCATAACAAACAATAATATCACCATCATTTGATGGTGATAATAGACGTGGTGTAGATATTTTCGATGGATTTTCAAATGAACGTAATATATCACCATTAAGTGTATGTTGAAGTACAAGACTTTTTTCACTACCACTTAAAACAATACCAAGTTCAGCTGATATCCATAAACATGTTATTTCTGTATCATGACCAGTTAATATTGCTGCTGGTGATGGATTTATTTCTAGACAAAAAAATAACAATTCATAATTTTTTTCTAAATTAAATTTAATTATAACCTTGATTTGGATATTCACGATCAACAATTGCACCTTTTGTTCCATTCCATATCCAAATACAAACTGTACAATCGCGTGAACCAGTTGCAAGAAAACAATTTCCAGCAATAGTTATTTCCGAACGACATACACATGTAACAATATCAAAATGACCATAGAGTACTTGTGTAATTTTAGCCATATCAGTATTTTGTACACGAAAACTTTTATCCCAATAACCAGTTGATATTATAAAACGATTATCAGCAGTAACAACAAAACTTTGATGTCGTTGTTGAATACGTTCATCAAAATGATCACCCAAATGACGACGATTTAAGTTTACATTTGATACTGAAAAAAAAAAGAAAATTTCGAATTAAAATTCTTTTTAATATCAGATTAATAAAAAAAAACATTCTTGTTGTTATTCATCTACAAAGTTTGACAACTTTTGGATATGAAAAATTTTCTTTTTAAGTATAACTCTTTCAAATATTGATGATTTATGTATCTATCGTTATGAATTTATATTGAATTATCGATAGAATTAAATTTAACATAACCTACGGGCATAAAATCAAACTTGTTTCGAAAGTGTAGTAAGAATTTCCTTCTGGAAATAAGATTGAACAACTATGATCAAATTATTTCAAAATACTGATTGTACAGAATACTATTTAAGTCAATTTTGTATTTCGATTAAAAACTATGAAATTTAAAATGCGAAACAATTTTTAATGAATCAGATTTTTTAGAACAAAGTTTGCTCTATAAAGCATGCTACTTACTTTCGCATGACATTCAAAAAATTTCAACACTGAAGCTCCTACTGTTTCCCCATGAATACCGATTTCCATAGAAACTCTTTAGTAGAAACACATAGATGAGATTTCAACTTATGATAATATCTCATTTTGTATAGAATTCAGTGCTCTACAGTAATATGAAATTTAAACTATTCCAAGCCATAAACTAAGGACTTTGCTATAACTGCTATTTTGTCACAGTGCAGACATAATGTTGAATTTTTTCATAAGATTTACTAATAGTTAAGTAATCCTAAATTCTCGAAGAAAAATATGAGCCAGCGAATAATTCTGATTCTAACTAAACAGAGCAGCTATGTTATGCGACATGTATCAAACTTGGTATCATCGGCCAACAAGTCGCTAGCGACTGTTTGTCTCGAATCACCCATTCGATAACATGCCAACTATATTATAATGTACACCTACTCTTATGGTTAGTTGATGTGTATGGAAAGTGCAAGAACTCTGTGTCAGGGTAGTCTTCTATCCAAATCTAGAGATAGTATTAGTTATAGGAAAGATATTGGACTACTGAATCTAACCTAAAATTGAATCCATGCTTAATGGTAATTGTGTTTGTTGATGAGTTGGTGTTGGTGATGATTCTGCATAAGTTTGTGTTGATGTACCAGCATTTGGATGATATTTATTTATTGAAAAATCATGTTTATTACTAATTGTAACAACAGCTTGTACCGGAAGTGTTGGATATGTATTAGCTGAAACATGAATAATTGGTGCATTTGATGAAAATTTCATTATCATTGATACATCTTCTGGTGTACTGAAAATAAAATAATATTTAAATTATTTATTTAATTTTTATGTTTTTGGAAAAAACTACTTACACATTATACATCATTGGAGTCTAAAAAAGTTTAAAAAAAATTATTTAAAAAAAAAAAAGCTTGGTTTTTTTGTTCATCTTACTAAATTCATTGCTGAATTTCTTGGTGGATGTGGTTCAGTTAAAAGTTGTGATGGTACTTGACCAAAATTTCTTATTTGTGTTTCAACAGCAGCACGATCTGTTGTATTTGTTATTGAATCAAGATTAACTGTACCTTCATATGTTAAATAATAGAAAACATTAACAGCACGAATTGCTTCAGGTCCTGAAATATCAAATATTAGAAAAAATATAAAATGATATTAATAATAAACAAACCTCTTTGTTTATAACCAAAAATTAAATCAATCCAATGATGTAAATGACATGAAACAAATTCAGATTCTAATGCCTAAAAATAGAGAAATTTTTTTTTTTATTTGATTTTATTCTTAAATATTCTATTTGTTTGTGTTTTTTTTGTTTACCGCTCGATTAATTCGAATAAAATCTTCTGGTGTTTGTGCCCATTTAGGTAAAATAACATCATCAACTTTCATTCCATCTTCAGTTCGTCCTAATTTATAATGATTACAATTTGTTAACATTTCAGGTAGAGAAAAAAATTCTGGTATTAATTCTTTAACATCCGATGAATCACGTTGACAATTTTGCCATGATATAGGAATTGAATGAAATAGTCGATTAGCATGATCAAATTTTCCTTCTTGTAAATTTAAATAAAATGTTGTAAATGGTTCCTAAAAATAAAACAAACAAAACAAACAAACTATTTGATTAATTAAATATATATATTTCAACTAACAAGTCGAATAAGCCAACTAAGTGTAAATGCAGCTGTTGAATAATGTGTACCATAATGAAATGGTGGAATTGTATCAGATTCCCAATGATTATAACGTTCAATAAAAAATGATTTTCTTGTAGGATTTAATGCTCCAATGGGCTAAAGAAAAATCAATAATAGATTAAAATCGTCAAAAAAATAGATAATTTTTAATTTACTTTTGATAAATCTCGATATGTTGATGGAGAATTTAAATCAAGTTTTTCACTTTCATAATCAGCTATAACCCATGGAAATATTGGATATTGATTTAAATCTTGAAATGTTCGACCTAAATAAATTTATTGTAAAAAAAAAAAAAGATATTTCATTTAAATTTAATCTTCTTTATATAATACCTGAAATTGTATTAAGATACATAAGATATTCAAAATTTGAAATTTCTCGTCTTTGCCATCGTTGAGTCATATTTGCTGAACGAAATAATTGTTTTGGTGATGCTAATGATGTTCGTCTAATAAAATAAATAATAATATCAATAATTAATGAAAATAAAAACAATAAACTAACCGTTGTTGTGGTAA